GCCCCAGGAGACTTGCAGCCAGAGGAGCAGTGGGCAGCAGCAGCTTGACCTGGGCTTGCACCACTCCCCATCCTGTCTCCAAGGCCCTTCTTCTCTGACTTCCCAGTGAGCTAACAGCAGCCCCGCCTTGGCTCTCTCCTTTCTTATAACCTTTCTAGGGAACCAAAACCGAGCACTGCCTGGGCTCTCTCCTGTCACTCTCCTGTTACTTCTTCTACCCTAAGTCCTTCCTTTCTTATATTGTCCCCAGCTTTAATAAATGTACTTTCAAAATCACCTAGACTTGCGTTATGAAATCTTTTCTACTCAAAGTCAAGGACCCGCACAGTAGAGGCCGGCCTGAGGCAGACCCTTCTGAGCCAGTCCGTGTCGGGCAGCATTCCCACTCTGTCAAAGCCTTCAGGGTGAGAGATGAGGAAACGCTGAGGTCTCCAGCTACCACACACCAAAGATATACTATGAGTGGAGTTCACTCTTGCCCCTAAGTTTGTACGGTTCCCACTATTACTCACCAAGACTATAGGAAATCACCCAGGAAATGTGAGCTTTTCTCCTCAGCAAAGTTGGTAAGATTAGCTACAATTAATATATCACTGCACCAGCGGGCCCATCTCCCCAAAGGTAGACAAGAGACAGATGGGAAGATCTGAATGTTTCTCTTGTATAATTCAGGTTTGCTTTTAGTGTGCTATTAAGAATTTATTAAGAATTAATGTACCTTCCATTTGCCTGCTCTGAGAAAAAACACAAATGGCTTTTTGAGATTGCTTAGATCTAAAGTGCCTGAAAAGTGAGTCTCATTTTGATTCAATTAGCTAGGGATGGTGTCAGAAAAGGATTAACTCAATCATATAGCAAACACTTAGAACAAACAAGATAAACTTTTCTTTCTGTTGTTCATTTATTCATATTCATTTATTAAACACATATTTACTGAGTACCTACTATGTGTAATGATCAGAGTTTCTTTACCTCAAAATCTGGCAGCAGGCAGATGACAAGGAGAGCTACAATTTTCTAGCACAGAGAGATAAAGACCAGGGTTCATCCAGAGAAATGAGTCTAAAAGTTCTGACCAGAGTAATGAGAAGAGGCTTTCTGGGAGAGCTGGCATACGCACAGATCCTTGGAGGAAGGAGGAGCAGTGACAGATTAATATGGCAAAATGAACAGCAAGATCCACTTGGGTCAAAGGCATGGCAGAAATCCAGGAACAGTGAACGGTGTAGTGAGAGCTATGGCTAAAAACATAGGCTGGGATTAGGCTGGGAAGGGCTTTGAGTGCTATGCTAAGGAGTTTGTTTTACCTGTATGCCGGTGGTTCTCAAAGTGAGATCTCTAGTCCAAGAGTATCAGCATCACCTCAGGCCCTACCCCTGGCATATTGAATTGGAATTTAAGGTTGGGAGGCTGGTTTAACAATCCGTAGTGTAACAGGCCCTCCAGGTGACGCTGATGCTTGTGAGAGGCTGAGAACCAGTGTTGAAGCCACCCCTTCCAAACCACTCTGTGTGCTGGGAATGGGTAACAGGTGCGCTAGAGACACTGCCCTCCCAGGTCCCTTGGGTGGCTTGGGCCAAACCTGCCATGTGGGCTGTTTATGCATGCAACCTTTATCCCTCTAATCTAAGAATGGCTTCTACATTTTAAGGGATTGTTAAAGAAGAAAAGGGAGAAAAAGAAAAAGATGAGGAAGAAGGAAGAAGAGAAGAAGAAAGAAGGAGGTGAGGGGACAGACAGTGTGATGGAATGCAGCCTGCAAAGCCTAAAATAGTTACCATCTGATGCTTTCTGGGAAAAGTTTGCTGACCTCTGGTGGAAAACAGGAGGAACTGTTTTTGAGAAGAGCAATAGGTCCACAGAACAAATTAAGACCATTTAATGTAGTAACTGTGTACAGAAAAGAAAAAGTGAAAGGAGCGGAAAGCCAAGAAGCCAAATAACGAACACAAGTGAGATGGTAAAGGTCTAAACAATGCAACATTCTATGAGTAGAAAGAAGAAATAGATCGGTAACATTTATAGAAATAATATGATTTAACCTTAAATTGACCCAAATGCTATGCCATAGTTAAGATTCTCAACAACTGAAGAAATTACAGATTATATCCAGTTCAGCAATTCTTGGGATTTGGTTTGCTCTAGTTTTGAGAAAATAGTACAATTTTGAGAGCATAAAATCCTCTTATTTAGTGTAGGAAAAAAAACAAGCTCCTGTTTAAGTGCATAGTGGGTGTTTGGAATTACCTCCATAATATTTAATTATTGTATAGAAGTGATATGCACATAAATATCCCAGTTATCTTCTTAAAATGCCATTTCCAGTTTAGTTGGTCTGGATGCACCTGAGACTTCATTTCTAAGAAGTTCCCAGGTGGGGACTGCACTTCGTAGCAAAGGTCTAGACTGAGCACCAATGGCTATTTGAAAAGCAAAATTGTAATTGTAAGGTTACATAGCAGGCATGGGAAATAATCCCTCCAACCACAGACATCTGCTGTAACATATGATGGAACTGGTCACCAAAGCACCCTTGCCCCTGCTATTGGTCACTGGAAATTCTGCCCTCTCAGAGGGGTGGTTTTCAGGAAAAAGTGCTTGAATATGGAAAAAAGATTAGAATGGAACAAAGGGCAGGAAAGAAAATAATGGATTTCGGGGGTGGAGGAGATAGGGCAGATCCTCCCACAGAGGCCTCAGCCAGTCTTGCGTGATGGTTTGGGGAGTAACACTCCCTAAGAATTCAAACCCAGGTTGTTCTGCTTCCTAAATGCATGATCTTACACAGGTTATTTTACTTTTTTTTTTTTGCCATGGTTCTTCCTTCATAGATGGGGATATATCAGTTCCTCAAAGAGTAGTTATAAGGAGTAAGAGAGAGAAAGTCAGAAAATAATGTAATGCAGTAGTGAGAATATAGTAAACTATGACAAACAGTAAATAATTGTAATCTTTAATTATAAATGGTAAAATGTATCAGCTTCCGGTGCAAAGCAAGCTCTCCAACCATCACAAGTATTGAACAAATGACCCAGAAATTTATTAATGTTACTAAAGTATGAATAACCCTAAATAAATCTTTAAATATACATGTTGGCCCATATATAGGATTTTTATATTAAATATTTGGGATTCCCTCCAAGAAATGACATGTATATAATGTGAGACATTATTAGTTTGCTTTTTGACTCTAAAATGTATGTTGCTTTTATTGTTTAAGGCTTGCACTAAATGGTGTATATGCACTGCCTTATTTAGAAAAGCAATTAGAGGACATAAAGTTTAAATAGTTGTCAAAGGAAATATGTGTTTTATATCTAAATTATACCTCTAAATTAAAATAAGGCCTTTGAGAACTTTTTGATATTAGGTGGAAATTTATCATGGAATCAGACTTAAAATAAAAAGTGTCATGTATCTGATGACCAGGTATGTTTTTACATTTTCCTCAGGAATGCTTTAGCATCTTGGAGACACAGCCTGAAAGGGTACATTAAGTTGTGCCAATTACTCTTAGTTCAATTGATTAAAACTCCCTAGGTCTCGAAGCTCTCTGCTTCTTTATTATTTTCTGGTGTTTCTTTACATTGTCCTTCACAGACCTTTCTTTCTACTGTGCCTCTGCCCCACCCTACAGAGATGGAGCAGAAAGAAAAACAGGTCTTCAGTGCCAGAGAAGCCTGGGACCGAATCGAGTACAGCCTCTGCTACTTGATATCTGCATGGCCTTAGATAAGGCCCTTTTTCTGAGACTCGGTTCCCTCACTCATATCGTTACCCACTTTGGTGGATTATTGAGGATTAGGGGTAATGTTTGTTAAGTGTCTACGTTGAAGCTATACATAGAAAATAAGCAATGAATGTGGGTTTTTCTTATTTATTATTTAAGTGTTACTTCACGTGACACCTATTCTAAGTATTCTCAGAAGCCCTGAAGAGGGAAGCAATTTGTACCTTCTTTAATATCCAGAGGTGCACTGTGTTTGCATCTGGTTACTTTTATGTGTGGCATTTCAATTATTTGATGTGTAGCTTATGTCTTCTATATGTATGGAATCTCTAGACGAAAGATTGAGGTCTCCAGATTCCTATGTGCACCATGCATCCAGGTAGGAGCTTGCAGATAATGATGCAATAATGATTATTCAATGAATATTTCTGTAATACAGCAAAAATCACTTTCTGACAGGATTCACATCAGTGTTGAAGTTGGTGTGCTTCTGGTTTCTCCTGATTTCTCCAACTTGTCAAAGACCCACCAAAATGAATTACATCAGACACCAAGTGTTTCACAATATTTTCCCTTGAGTACAATTTATTTAAATCATATATAATTAGAAATACAGAGAATTACAGCAGAATAAAAAACACAAGAATTGTATAGCTTGTCTTGTTAAAAATTAAATAAAAGAGGTACTGATTAAATGAAAAGGCATATGGCAATGTTAGATATATGTAGGGTAGCTGGGGATAAAAATGCAAAGCAGGACATTCAAGGTGCAGCAGCCTAACTCATCAGTCTCTTTCTTCAGGATGACTCAATGCTGACGTTTGCAGGAGGGATGAGCGCTTATAACCCCTGCCCTGACTTCCCTAATTAGCACTAGGTAGTAGCTGTCCTAGAGAGAGAGAAGGGAGGAAGAAATAAGAAAGTGAAAAAGAAAGAAGCAGGGAGGCAAGGAAAAGAAGGGAAAAAGGGAAAGAGGGGGAGGGAGATTAGGAAAAGAAAAAGTGCATCAACAGAGTGACAACTCTTCTGAAAATATGGAACATGTTTTGTCCACTCCTTCTGGAAGTTGAGTCACAGTCCTCTAAGTCATGTAACCTGGAAAATTAGGTTAAGCCTTCATAGAGATATTGATAAATTCATTATGTTCCTCTATTTTTTTAAGTAACAAAGTCTGTAGATCTTAAAGCATTAATAGGATCAAAAGGGACATGTTTCCTATGACCATGGAGAAGGAGTGTTTCAATGTACTACTACTCCCTTGAGAGGTCCTATAGCTTTACTGAAAGACAACTGGCTCAAAGAGGAACAATAATAATGAGACTTGCCAGAGTCAGATTCTATTTTAAATGCAGAATGTTTACTAGCTGGTAAATAGCTACTTAAAGGCATGTAAAGCAGTAGTTACAGTTTCTCCATAAATAGAAATAAAAAGACCTTTTTTAAAGGACAAAAAGTCACCATGATGTACATATATAAATTTCCCCAACACATCATTATAGATCAATCTCTACTGCTTACATTTAAAATATCAATTGCATTATAATGTCTATGATACAATTCAATTATGTAGCTGTCTTCTACACAAGATTCTGGTGAAACAAAAGCTAAGAACCTTATTCACAGAACATTGAAAAGCGCTTTATACACAGTTTATGCACAAATATATCTTAAGTTAGAATGATGCATACCTAATATGCATGTAGAATATGGCTTACACATTAAAAGAGATCTGAGTTGTGAGTTATAAAATCCCGCTCTTTAGACTTAAAAGCTTCTGGTTGTATCCATTTCTAAAATATTGCTTAGCATTGTGGAACCCAGAAAAGAAGCCGGTGCAACAGAAAACTTTTTAGGATGGATACGTTCTTCTTCCCTTTAATTGATGGCTACTCTTGATTTTTTCCATTCAATTCTGCCTTTCATAAAAAAGCCATTTACTCTCACAATCATTGAAGTGTTTATACAGTGAAAAGTTATACCACCTAACTGTGCTTAACTTTTCTTGTCAGCTAATAACAAATAAAGGTAGTTCTTCAGGTTGGAGCAAAGGAAAGGCTCTGCACATGCTCAGGCAAACATGACAAGGAAGCAGAGTCTCCAAGGGTGGTAGTTTGTCTCTGTGTAGGAAAATGTAAAGTCACATCAAGTACTGTTATGTTACAGAAAAGTGCGGGCTTCCATTCTCATAGGTATTTTTGAATATACACCACACACACACAAGCACACACACGCTTCTTGTCACTTATCCCTTGGCTTGTTAAATGTTCTGTTACATCCTAATGGGATCAACACCCCAGAAGGCAAATTGCATTCTCAGTTCCCGTGCCTGTCTCCAACGGCAGCTGGAGGTTCTTGTCATCTTGCATTGTAGGTAACGTGAGACTTCTGTGGCGATGGTGCTCTTGTAGGTGATGCATTGGTGCTGTGAAGCCACAGGGATGGGTGCAGGCTGGTCTACTGGTTTCCAGGACACGGTTCACTACTGAGTCCCAGATCGAAAGTGACAATGCTGTGTTCACCGGCCAGGTCACAGAGCCAAGGTTATGATACTCCATTGTTTTAGGACTTCAGCCACAGCTTCTGAGCAGTCCTGTCTCTCATTTTGTTCCCATGTATTTAAAAGAGCAAGGACGATCTAAATGGCCTGTTCCTCAGAGCTGTAAAAAATATTTTCCTTAATTTTGTTTTTGCTTTCCTTTCACTTAATACCACAAAAAAAATTTGTAGTTGCAGCGCTATGTGTAAAACAGTGCAAGAAAGTGAATTTTAAAAACACCTCTTCTGCACATGTATTGCACAGTCATCTAGGCTAAAACTGGGTTCAAAATAATGACAATTTAAATCTGCCCTACTTTTGTCTTAGAAATGTCTCTGGATTGATTGAAGAAGGCCAAATTGTGGAGGAAAAATGATGGCAGAAGCACTGGCTAAAAACTCTGGTGGCAAATTTGACTGTATTTATTTGGCCAGAGTTCTTAGCACAGAATTTATATTCTTCCTATTGATTTCTTATATAGAAGCCCATAAAAATAGCCAGATCCAAGTGTGTGTTGAAAGAGGAGGATATAGTTCTGTAGAAAGTTGAGGAATTAGAATATTTTAGTACTGTTCTCATTATCCTGAAATAAAATGCAAATGAATATGAAGATCATGTTTTAGTCATAAACAGACAAGAATTACTGTGTTGCAATTTCCCATTGGACTTTATATACTTTGCAAAAATACATGGTTTGTCAGTATATAATAGATAACGATTTTATGTAAGCTAGAATCCCTCTTTCTATTTCTTCTCTTTGTGTGCATGTGTACATGTGTGTGTGTTCTTATATCAGTAAAAGTTTTGACCCTTTTGATCAGAAGTCATGCATTTGAACAGCTATACAGAACTGGAAGGTAACAGAAATGAATTAAGTGGGCCTGTGTAAGTGTAAAACAACTATAATCACAAGGACTGCAGTGAGTAAAGATATTCACAAAAAATATTTTAAATCACTGTGGAAGTCAAACAATGCAAACACACAGGCTAAATCCAACCCACAAACCATCAGTTCTTAACCTCTTCTTGGAAGTACACTCAACACAAAAGGGCCTGCAGGCCAAATCTGAACTTCAAACACATTTTGTTTGTTCTATATAATGTTTCAAAAAGCTTTGAGCCAACATTAAAAATTGGAAGACTTTACCAAAAAAATTGTAATGTATAGGAACACATGGAAACACGGGGCCTTCACCCTTACGTGGTGAAAATCCGCCAGAATGAAAGGGCGGCCAGCCTGCAGGACAGGTGTGTAGAGCCCCCTCTGTGTCCAAGGCTGACCAGTCCTTTCTTCTTCCAGACACTATACTTGAGTCACAACTGCCAACTGTCACCACTCTTGTTACTTTCTGTTTTCCCCTACTTCCATCATTTAAGAGACCTTCCTATTTCTTGATGGCATGTGAATTTCACCTACTTGGTTCTTGGAAGATTGTGCACTGTGGGCAAGGCTTTCTCAAACTGAGAAGGAAGTTAATGAACTTAGTACATCCTGATGAAAAAAAGAAAACCAATTGTCTAATGGTCTGCTAGCTGCTGGGGTTTGAGTATCACTGTTTAGTTTTAGTGGGCCTCAAACATTTCCAGCTTTGGAGGTTTTTTAGTTAAAAAAAGAAAGAGAAAGAGACTTTATTAACTGCCATCTGAATCTCATCAAAATCTTTTACTGATGAGATGCCAGAATCTTACAGATAATTTTTTTGTCTTAGATATTTTCATACTTAATCATTTTTACAAATGTACTGGTAACCTGTGATTCCTACACACAATTTTTGGAAAATGTTCATAAATATTCCAGCTTGATATTATAAATGCATAGGAAATGCTGATCTTAAACTTTTTCTTTTGAAGCCATATAATGTACACTGGCTTAGAGGCATTCGAGAGGAAAGAATATTGTTTAATTTTGTTTAACTTAGTTGTCTAATGGTATTTACTTGGCAATAAAACCTTTTGTACTTAAACATATATAAATACTCCACTGGATTGGTTTTCTCTAAGATATACTTTGAGGACTCTAGCATACACCATCAGGACCCAAGGCCTCCTGAAAATAGCTATGAGCTCTAAAGGTAATAATTTATAGTTTGGATGAAGGGAAAGGAAAGAAACTGGTATCGCTAACATAGGACAATGTATTAAAATGGTTAAATATAGAGATGGACTTTAGTTGCTGTACAGCCACTTTGTGGCTTGATTTCTACCCAAGCTTCACATGTAAAATAGGACTCACAATGACTACCTCTGGAATTGCTGAGTGATATAATACATGTAAGATGTTCACCACAGTGCCTCATACTTGAAAGTTGCTATTAATGAAACTATTATTATCAATACGTCTTATAATCATGAGAATACTGAGCAATGAATGATAACTAATTACACTTTAACTCTTTCATATCTAAAGCAACATTTGAGGAGCTAATGATAACATCCCAAACTCTTGCTGTGGTACCCTCAGCATTTTCTTTTGTTCCCACCAGCACCCCAGCAACAGGATACATTATGACACTGGGTTTTGCGCCTTGCTTTTTTAAGGAGACACTCAGACATCTCCACTATAAATACACATCCCTCCCTGCTAACTACCTGCACGTCCTCTGAAGGCCCAATACAGTGTTTCTCAACTTTAACATATAGAATTATAATATCAACAGATAGGGTAGTTAAAAATTCAGATTCCTAAGGCATCACTTCCAGAGTTAATAATTTGGTAGATCAAAGGCAAGCCCTAGAAGCTGAATTTTTAAAAGAGAACCATTGAGGCACACATCCATGGATTTTTAGTAAATATTGATGTTTTCATCATAATATGGACTTGTTTTGTTATAACCATCTATTGTAAACTTCACAATTCCTACCGGAAGTGGAAAAAGAAGTCAGGATTAAACCTCCCTATTGACTATAGCCTATTATTTTTGAAGAACTGGAATGTCTTGGTAAGTATAATTTTTATTTATAAGAAAATTAAGAACTTTTTGGAAAGGTAAATATTTAAGATTATGCCTCAGAAGGTGGAAAACAGAGATTTAAAAAAAATAAGAATCTGGGAGATATTTAAGACAACTTTGTCTCTAGTGATATTCTATAAACAATTCATTTCAGAAATTAGGTTTCTCATCTAAAACAATAATAATTACCTCTCATGTTTAACATGACAGAAGCCTTTATGGTGTTTCAAACCTATGAGTGTGTATCAGCATGTTTTTCTTCAGCATTTCCTTGATCTTCTGTGTTCTTATGAAGATCAGGTTCACCTAGAAAATGAGAAAACAAGAACAAAGTAGGTCCATGAAAAGAACAGGAAAGGTCAGGAAACTGCAGCAATTGGACAAATGTTGAATACTCTTTCACAATGGATTTTTGTGGCATGTTTCTCCAAAGATAGCAAACACTTTCTTTTCAAACTGTGGATTTGTAGAGTATAACAAATCATCTTCTGGCCATTTTACAACTTTGTGAAGTTGCAATTTAATCTGGGAATACAGAAACAAAGCAGATGAGACATGTTTAAACATCTATTAAATCAAATGTAAAAATTGTGCATATTTTTCCTGAATATTTTTAACTGAAATGAATTCTTTTAAACAAACCCTCTAATGATCAGTGTCTTTTACCATACATTGCTTAGTTACTATGAATTTAAAACAAATGAGTATAAGAGAACACTGATGTTTAAGATAAAACATAATCTGCCAAAACAAACTAATGGAATTTATAATCTTAGAATCACTTGGCTTTCATATAAACCTTGAAGAAGAATAAAAAAAGAAAAACATTTGCATGGAAAATGTTCCAACATTTCTAGGGAAGTTGCAGGGAATCTATCAAAATAGAAATATATTTTGAAAGCAAAATGTACAGTTAAAAGAGTCTTATTATATGAGAAAGTAAACAAAAGTCATAGAAATTAATTTCTGAGTCAATTACTCAAAGTATCTTGATATTTCAGTAAATAGTCATATATGATGAAATGCTCTTTCTGTCTGAAATTTATTTGAAAATATATTAACAGTTAAACTCTACACCAATTAACTTTGAGACAATTTCTTCATATATATTGTAAGATTGCACTATCTCAGTTGCAACAGATTTTCTACTGAGGTTATAAAATTAGTGAACATATAGAATTTATGAGGCATTATCACAAAGCAAATCTATTTTATCTCTCACTTTATGTTTAAAGTATATTCAATGGGGAAAACTTATCTTTTATACCAGAATCAAAATTTCAGGTAGTATCATGACTTTTACAATCATTCTTAGATAATAAAAATCATGTGTTCACATTAAGTTGCCCAAGTCTCAACTCAGACATTAGCAGGTCTAATCACATATCATACACATCAATCTTAAAACAAAGAAAAACTTACTATCCAACAATGGGTTTGTTACAGAGCCTAGAAATGGTGTGGGGGCGGGGCATTGTTGATGTTTCTTTCATTTTTGTCCCCCTCCCCCAAATTGTCTACTTTGGCCTCCTGAGCTGAAGAAAGGAGAGAAGAGGGCTAAGAGGAGCAGCAGAGTTTCTCCTTACCTATTACTATTGTCAGGCGGTTAGAGCTGAGTCTTCTGAGAACATATTCAGGGACTTTTTGGGAAGGAAAATGGCTAGAGACTAGCTTGGTATGGGTACATGAAACTCTGGTTCCTTTGCAATGTTCACAGCCTCTGGAAATTTGTTGGTACCTTTCCAGCTTCTGTCTGCTGAGGGACTATCCCCCTTTCAAATATGGGTGGGACATATTTGGTTCACAGGAAACACTTGTGAGGCAAGTGTTTCCGTTAATTACTTGAGGAAAGACTGAAGTCTAGTTTGGTTCATCTGTCACCATATAACCCTTTATATTTCTCATGTAAGAACTAGACTCCTCCTTTCCCCAAATTCCCTTAACTTCAAGCTCCCCAAGGGTTCTGATGAAGCTGTTTTCCCTTGATTTGAGACAAAGAGAGAAGTCACATCTTTTCCTGATAGCAGAGAGCTCATTAAAGAAATGTCTGCACTGGCCAGTGTGCCTTAGTTGGATGAGTATCATCCCATAGGCAGAAATGTTGTGGGTTCAATTTCCACATACTCAGGTTGCAGGTTCGGTCCCCTGTCAGGGTGCATGAGAGAGGGAACCGATAGATGTTTCTCTTCCATAATGATGTTTCTATGTTTCTCTCCCCACCCCCTTTCTCCCTTCCCCTCTCTAAGCATGTCTTCTGATGAGGAGAAGGAAGGAAGGGAGGGAGGAAGAAAGGAAGGAAGGGAGGAAGGAAGGAAGGAAGAGAGGTAGGAAGGAAGGAAGGGAGGAAGGAAGGGAGGAAGGAAGGAAAAGAGAAGAGAAGAGAAGAGAAATCTTCCTTACAAATCCTTTTTCAACTGTCAACAATCTGACCCCTTCACTTGTTTGAGTGGGGTGAGGGTTATAAGCATATTATAACCAAAATAAGTCAGTTTGTTTCAGACATTTATTATCTAAGAGCCTTGGCTTAAACGTCTGCTTTAATATCCTATTTCTTGTAACTAGATCAGAAAACAACAAAACAGACTAGAAAGAACAGAACAGAGTGAAAAGAACATACTGAATTAAAAGAAAGGAATACAAGTAATTAATTATCTGGCTCTCAAAAACTTTCAGAGCCCCTTTTACAATGAACAAAGGACACTGAAGTCCTTATAGCTAGTGGCTAAAAACTCCCCAGTAACAAAAGAATGGGCAAGGAATAAAATCATCAAATGGTATCAATGCCATAATTACAAAAAATAAGTAACAAAAGGATACACATTACATCCATGAGTAATTCAATACATGTAATTAGAAAAGCAGCAATTAAAAATTATGACCAATTCAAGACAAAAATTTTGCTACACTGAAAACAAAGTGTTTTCCTTGAAAAACTGTAAAAATTTCAGATGTTTTCAAGAATGCAAACACAACATTGCCAAGCAATTGCATGGCAGACAGATTGCTTAGTAAAATGCTAGCGCCCTCAGCAAATTCAAATCATATTACTTTTACTTAATAACTCTTTAGTTGCAGAATCTTACAATAACTCGGATAATACCACTCGGAAGTAACCATTAGTCTTTCATAAAAAAGAGAATCATATCATTTTGACCTATTCTTCTGCCAGAGAAGAAATTATTTTCTTTGTTCAATCCATTAAAGATCATCTTGACTCGAGTGACCTCTGTAAAAGGTCTTGAGAAAGATCCATGCAGTCCCAGGTTCCAAATCAGGTTTTTGAATCATGGTCCCCTCTTTTAGTTTGGTGAAATTATGGCCTTCTCAAAATAAAATTTATAAACAAATAAAATACATAGGATTACAAGGATTCCACTTACATTAAAATATAATTACCAAAATATTTTGGTTATTATCCTAGTGGTGTGACATAGTAATATATATGCTTCTTTATTAATGCATCAAATCACAAGGTGTGGCTGCAGGTCCCTCATCTATGTCATTTTAAAGTTATAACAATATCCAGTAATATCTCAAGGTACCTTCATGAATTTAATGTTATGAAAATGTCTATGATTTCTACTGGTGACAAATACCACAAATGTTACTCTGTGTATTGTTGCCTACAAATAAAGGAAATTCTAAATTTCAGTTAAAGGTTAATAAAAAATTACTCTCTAAGGATACAGACCTTATCGGTATAATTATGGGTTAAAATTTTTGATAGAACCTGATCGGCAAGATGGTAGAGTGAATGGAAGTCATACTGACCTCCTCCCTGGACCAGTCTCAAATTACAACAAAATTGTGGAGAAATCACCCAGAATGAACAATTGAACAATAGCAAGAGAGAAGCCCTATAGCCTCTGACAGACAGAAGAATCAGCGGTAAATACTACAGGCTACCAAGACAAAATCCACTTTGGTCTTCTCCATGATTTGCAATATTTTCTATACTAGATAGCTTTTTAACATTCATTTCTTGTCCATCAAGTCTGTGCATATTAAGTCACTAGATTTTATACTATAGGTTATTTCTCTCCTTTCTTATACAAGCCTTAATCTCTTTACAGCCTTAATAACACTGGTTCATTTGCTTTTAATAGTAGGATTGCAGGGGGGTGGTTATTTTTGTGGATGTTGGTTTGTTTCCCGGGCTTTGCAGTTTGGTTCTGGCAGCACCTGCACAACAACACACAAGACATGGTGGGCAGAGTGACCCTGTTGACCAGCTGGAGGGAAGGCCATGATCAAAGAATGACCAAAACAATCAGAACCCAATCACGTCCAGAGATCCAACATAAACAGCATGTGAGGCATCCCAAGAGCATTAAGTTCAGGAGATCAAGGAGACTGCACCACTGCATCTCACAGGTCTCCTACCATAGAAGTTCACACCACAAAGTCAGGGAGTCAAAACAGATCAATTTAAGAAGCAGAAGCAAAAAATAAGAGTCTCACAAACAATGGGAAGACAAAGAAGCAACTCCCAATTGAAAGGAAAGGAGGAATCTTCAGAAAGCGTACAAAATGAAATAGAGGCAAGTCAACTATCAGATATTGAGTTCAAAACAGTGGTTATTAGAAAGCTCAATGAGTTCAGTGAGAATTACCAAAAACTGTAGGGAAACTATGAGGAACTTACTACAAACTCCACCAGCAAGAAAAAGGACATAGACACAATCAACAAGAACCAAGAATAAATGAAGAATACAATTTCTGAATTGAAGAACACAGTAGAAGGAATCAAAAGCAGGCTAGATGAAGTACGGTATCGAATCAGTGACCTGGAGGACAAGGTAGAAAAAAGCTCCCAGAAAGAGCAAGAAAATGAAAAAAGACACAAAAAGAATGAAGAGGGGTTAAGGGAAATGCAGGACAACATGAAACATTATAATATCCATATAATATGAATACCAGAAGGAGAAGAGGAGGAAGGATAGAGAAAGTGTTTGAAAAAGTAATGTTGGAAAACTTCCCTAATTGGAAGAGAGAAAAAGTGACACAAGCCCAGGAAACACAGAGGGTCCCAACCAAGAGGAACCCAATGAGACCCACTCCAAGACACATCATCATTAAAATGGTAAATATCAAAGACAAGCAGAGAATCTTAAAGCAAGCAAGGGAGAAAGAGGTAGTAACATGTAAAGGAGCCTGGATATGGCTAGCAGCTGACTTCTCAGCAGAAACCCTGCAAGCCAGAAGGGAATGGCAAGATATATTCCAAGTAATGAAAAGCAAAGACCTGCACCCAAGACTACTCTACCCAGGAAGGATCTCAATGAAAATGGAAGGTGAAATAAGGA